GCGATCTTTCGGCGATCTTTGGGGGCTCTTGGGCCGTCTCGGGCCGTCGGAAGGCCGAAAGAAGGGAAATGCCCAAATCCATCAAAAACCTTGGGAAAATCAGTGATTTTGGCATCTTTTGGCCTTCCTGGAGGCCCTCTTGGGGGCCTCTTGGGCCCTTTTGGGCCAGCTTCGAGCCAACTTCGGCCATCTTGGTGGGTTCCTGGCACGTCTGACGCCGTCGGGAGCCGTTTTGGGGGCCTTTCTGGGCCAACGGGGGACCCTCTTGGGGCGCTCCAGGGCCGTCTTGGAGGCCATCTTGGGCGTCTTGGAGGCCATCTTGGGCGTGTTGGAGGCCTCTTGGGCCGTCTTGGGGCCCTCTAGGGGCCATCTTGGAGGCCACTTGGGCCATCATGGGGCTCTCTTGGGGGCCTCTTGGGCGATCTTGGGGGCTTCTTGGGCCGTCTTGAGCCGTCGGAGAGCCGAAAAGGCGCAAATGCCCAAATCCTTCAAAAACCACGGGAAAATCAATGATTTTGGCCTCTTCGGACTCTCCTGGAGGACCTCTTGGAGGCCTCTTGGGCCGTCTGGGAGGCCTCTGGGGGGCCCCCCCACCCCCCCTCCCTCCCTCTTGGGCCGTCTTGGCCGTCTTGGACTCTCTGGGCCGTCTTGGCGCCGTCTTGGACCATCCGGGTCGGGCGCACTGGAGGCCATCTTGGGCCATCTCGCGATTTTTTTGAGGATGTCCCAGCGAAAAACGCCGTTTTGGGCACGGTGGGCGACGGGCCGAGCCCACCTGGGGAGTCTTTTGGGAAAAAAAAAAAAAAAAAAACCAAAAACCAAAACCAAAACCTGAAACATCCAGCACGCCGTGCACCCCTGCAAGCAGGGGGCGGCGGATCTACTGGCCTTCGGCCCATCCCGCCACCGTGCCTGGGTGGTGGGCCAGAGGCAACTGGAGTGCTCGTTGGGATCTCGTGGTTGGCGGCTTGGGGGCCTCTTGGAAACAGCTTTGGGGCCCGTGGGGGATCGTCTTAGGGCCTCTTGGGGGCTTTCGTGGGCCTCTTGGGCGCGAGCGTTCGCCTCGGAGGCGGGCGTTCGCGCAGGAGGCGAGCGTGCGCCCGGGAGATGGGCGTGGGGCCCAGAGGAGGTCCCCTGGGCGGCTCCCACACCTGGAAGGGGCAGAAGAGGGGGAGGGAGGAGGAGGTGGGAGGAGGAGGACGAGGAGGAGGAGGCAGGGACGGCGGTGACGACGACGACGACGACGACGACGACGAGGACGAGGACGAGGACGACGTCGACGACATTGACCACGACGACGACGATGACGACGAGTATGGGTGCGAGCTGGAGCAGTGTTTTGGGTCCTTGAGAATGCCAGTCAGCATTGAATGGTCCTGAGTATCATCGCCACATGAATAGAGAAGGTTGGGTACAGCACAGGGTAATTGTGCCCTGCGCGGCCAGCGCGCACTGGGCCTCAGGTCTCCACGGCTCTCGGGCGCGACGCGGCGGATCGCAGCCATTAGGTCGGGCATGTCCTCCTACAGGCGGATTTGGTGAGAAAAATGAAAACAGCCAAACAATACGCAAGAACAGGCCGAGCATAGTCGAAAACTCGTCCTCAGACTGTTTTGGACTATTCCTGAACATTCCTCCTGTAGAGGGGAAGGAGGAGGCGGAGGAGGAGGCGCAGAAGGAAGAGGAGGAGGAGAGGGACGTGCCCGACTTCACGCCAGCGGCCCCCCTCGCCGCCCCGGCACCACCAGCGCCCTGGCGGGCGCGGCGTTCCCCGCGTCGGCCGCTCGGCTTCTGGCGCAGACAGGCAGATTGGCGCGCCCCGAGCGTGTGCTGACGTGCTCGGCGCTCGCGGCCCCTCCCGGAGGGCGCACATCTTCTCTTGGGCGATGGCAGAGGCCCCAAGAAGCCCCCAAGAAGCCCCCAAGATATCCCAAGAGGCCCCCAAGGCCCCAAGATGTCCTAAGAGGCCCCAATAATCGCTTCCCAAATTGGCCCCCGAGAACGATCCGAAGAGAGACCCCAAGAAGCATCCCTGAGGACTCTGACCCACAAGGCGGGCACGGTGGCGGCATGGGCCGAAGGCCGTCATATATTCTTCTTACCGGGCGATGGCAGGACTGGGTTTAGTGGGACCTGGTCCAGTAATCAGAATCGGGGACGCCCCCACGTCCGATTCCACCAGCCGGAATTGGCCGTCGCCCGAAGAGCACCAACAACGGCAGACTTGGTTTAGTGGTTCCAATCCATATTTTGGGCTTCGGGGCCCAATCACTAACCGGCTCCGCTTAACCGGGGTCCTGGCTATACCCGATTCTCTGAGGGGACCCAAGGACACACAAATCAATACACACAAATCCCAATATCCCACCATTTTCTGATATTTTCTGGAGTTTCGTCTCCCCCCCACTTCCCATATCTTCCCACATTTTTCTCGGGCTCAACAATTAACTGTGTTTGCGTTTTTTCCTCTCCTCGTTCTCGTTCTGGAAGCAGAGCAGCTCCTGGGGGCGCATCCGGGTAACGATAGACTGCATAGCGGCTGAAGCCTGTACTGTTGCAGCGCCTCAGGGTGACGGCGAAGAGCAGACGAGCTCCCTGCTCACGGATGAAGAGCAACCGGACTTCTCCCGATGATTGGCCTGTTTTCCACCACCACCACTATTAGTTGGAGTGGGAGGGGGTCGTCCTCTTCTTCCTCTTCCTCCTCCTACTCCACCTCCTCCTCCTACTCTTCGTCCTCCTCCTCCTCGTCCTCCACTTCCTTCCCCACTCCAACTTATGGTGGTGGTGGTGGTGGTGGTAGAAAGCAGGACCATCACCTGACCAACCGGGTGGTCTCGGACCTCGAGGTGGACATCCTGCAGAAACACGAAAGATCAGCTCTTCTGCGGCGCGGGGCACAAATTATGGCGCTCGACATGTTCCGCCTGTTCGAGCATCCTGATCTGGTTACGGAGCCAGCACTGGTGGTGTACTCTTGTTTGTGACCGACCTCCTACGGCTTGGCGCGACTATCTCGGCCACTTGGTCGGCAGATACGCTCGGCTTGTTTCTAGCACGCACGACTGTTGCACGTATTTCGACGCCTGCGCGTACCCCGGCCGAAACCGTGTAGTTTCCTGGCAAACTCCCGGCAAGGTGCCCCAGAGCGCCCCAGACGCCCCCCAGACGGTCCAAGAGGCCCCGAGTCGCCGAAAGATCGTTCCAAGACGCCCAAGATGGTCTCCAGACAGCCCCAGAGGCCGCCAAGAAGCCCCGAGAGAGAAACACAAATCGTTCCATTCCCTTTAGGGAAACGTGACATTTTCGCGTGAACGACTTGAAGGTTTCACAACGTTCAAAACTGCCCAGGAGGCCTTCAAAATCGCCCCAACACGGCCCAACATGCCCCCAAGATCGGGAGCGGCCAAGAGGGGGGTGTCCAAGAGGGGGGGGTGCAAATCATGACAGGCGGCATGTGCGCGGCCCAGCGGGGGGGCCTGGGACGTAATAAAATAAGAAGAGGCGCCATGAAATCTGAGGAAAAATCATGGCCCGCGCCATGAAATCCCCCCCCCCCCCTAGTCATCACCCCCCTCTTTTCCGCTCCCGACAAGATGAGCCCACGACGGCCTCAGAGCGCTGAACGACAGCCCAAAGGCCTCTCAAGACTGTTCCAGAGGCTCCTGAAAGACCCCAAGAGCGGTACTCCGAGCTGCCATGTCTGGCCCTTTCCCGCGAGATCCCTCACGAGACTGCCAGCAGGGCCCAAGAAGCTTCCAGAAGCTACCAAATACTAGCCCAAGAAGCTCCCAAGAGGCTCTCAAGAGGCCTGCCAAGAAACCCCACGACGTCTCCCAGAGATCCGTCTTGTCGGCGACCCTGTCTCGTCTCTGAAGAGTTCCCCTAAGAACCCACCGACAGGCCTTCTCCTTCTCTTCATCGTCCGCTTATGTGACAATAGTGGGCCGGCGCCATGAGCAAAACGATGAACTGGATGGGCACAGATCCCAGGATTCCCCATCTGCTCCCGTAGGTTCTCAAGGCTCGTCTCCCCCCCTCCCACTTCCCATCTCTTCCCCTGGGGATCGAATGCTATTGTTGTCCGTGTTTTTGTTGCCCCTCTTGACTCTCACCCTCCCCCCCCCCCCGGTGGGCCCCGGACTGCAGGAGGAGCGCACGGCATCGCGCGGGGGCGGCCTGGGACGCCCCGCCGCCCGCCAAGCAGGGCGGCATCGCGCGGGGGGCTGCGCGGCAGCACCGCTGGTGAGGGGGGGCCGATGCCCTTGGCGCTCCTGCCACTGCTCCCTCCCTCCCTCCCTCCCTCCCTCCACCCGGCCCGGGCGGACAGTGTGGCAACCTGGGGTTGGTTTTTTTTGGAGGTTGTGGGAGATCTGAAGGTCTGTTTTGGGAACCTCGATTTTTCTAACGTCGAGTGGGTTGTGCCGCGTCTGTCTGTCAAATCCTCAGGTCCGTAGCTGCCCTCCCTCCCTCCCTCCCTCCCCCCTGCCTCCTGCCACCCCTCTTTTAGCTACACGGAGCTCTGCCCTCGAGCCTCGAGGGTCGGGGAGTCAGACTGCCGGACGTGTGCTCACTAAGTGTGTTTGCACTCTTGGTGTTGTCTCGGCGCTGGTCCTCCAGAAGCCCGCGGAGGCCCCTGGGGGTCAGGACGGGGGGCGGAGCTGCAAACCAGACCATCCCTTTGCTTACCCGCCCTCGTCCTCCTGCTGCTCTGCTCGCGCAGCGGATGCGGCTCCTCGTCCTGCTCCCGCTCCCACTCCTGCTCCTGGCCCCGCGGCCCATGTCCCTCCTCCACGGCTTCATCCTGCCCCTTCTGTCCACCCTTCTCGCCCTCGACCCCACAGACGACGTCGCTGTCGTCCTTCCACTCGTCTTCCTCCTTCCCCTCCGACTCGTCAGAAGTCCTCCGACCTTTCCTCGTCGCTCCCGGGCTGGAGCGCGGCTCACGAGCGCCAGGCACTGGGTGCGGCCAAGCAGCCACGCCAGATGCGTCGGGCCGCCTTGACAACCCAGTCGTACTTCCTGTAGTGCCCCTTCTCCTCGATCGCCTTCCAGTGGTCGATGAACGCGTCGACCAGGGGCTTGTAGCTCGAGGAGCCTACCTCGGCAAGCGGGCAGCACTCCTCGCCCTTCTTGCCTGGTAGGCCACGCATGGGACGCCCAGCTCTCCTCCGTCTCTTTCCTGCTGCTTCTCCGCCTGCTCCTCCTCCTGCCTATGCTCCTCCTCGCCACCGTCCCCGTGATCATCGCCGGTATCCTCTTCCCTCCTTCCTGTCCCGTCCAGCAGCAGGGAGGGGGGGGGGGCCCTTGTCGAAAGCCGAAGGCCCCGCTGCTTGCTCCGACGCTCCCCAGGATGGGGGCCGTCCTCATCCGCGTGCGCCCCCCTTCGGGGATTACCCTCGTGACCATCGCGGATGCCCTCCTCTTCCCCATCTCTGCGGTCGGGCCTAGGAGAGAAGAACATCCTTCAGTAGCATGCGACCCTCCACCGGCCCAAACTGAAGAACATCAGAGGGTGCCCAAAACCAAGACACACACAAGAGAGCATTCAACACGCACGAAAAACATTGGGGCACCCTCCCCGAACCGACCTCGACCTCAGACATCGGCCCGGCTGTACCACAGGATGTGGGGCGGCCCCTCCTCCTCCCCACCCCTCCTCCTCTTCCCCCATCCCCCAGTTTAAGTGAGAAGGTGCCTGGTGGAAACCAAACAGTACGCGCCCGAGCCGGCGCATCGAGCACAATCACTGTTCGGGCTCAACAAAAACCCACACTGGTTGCGGAGGCGGGCGCGCGCATTTTGGCAGCCGCAGGCTCACGTGCGCCGTCCTCCTCCTCTCTTGCCAGGCCTCGGCAGAGGCCCAGCTGTGCCGCCGGCTGGCGGCCCCACGGCCCGAACCGCTATGCGGTCAAGGCCGAAAAAGAAAAGGACTACGAAGGGCCAGGGAGGGCCTGGGAGGGAAGGGCCCGAGGAAAAACTTGAGCCCCAAAGGGGGCCGCGGAGAGGGGGAAAGGGACAGAGAGCGGGAGAAGGCCCTTCCCCCTCACCAGGCACTTATTCCCTGAAACCTTACGTTCTACGCACGCTCGAACTCTCACGTTTAAGTGAGAAGGTGCCTGGTGGAAACCAAACAGTACGCGCCCGAGCCGGCGCATCGAGCACAATCACTGTTCGGGCTCAACAAAAACCCACACTGGTTGCGGAGGCGGGCGCGCGCATTTTGGCAGCCGCAGGCTCACGTGCGCCGTCCTCCTCCTCTCTTGCCAGGCCTCGGCAGAGGCCCCGCTGTGCCGCCGGCTGGCGGCCCCACGGCCGCCCAGCTGCTTACCCCCTCGGCGCCCGTGACTTGCGGGAGATGCCGAATGGGGCTTGCACCTCGGGGACCGCACTGGCGGGACGCCCCGTCCCTCCTTCCTCTCTCCTCCTCCACCTCTCCCGGGGACCGCACTGGCGGGCCGCCCCGGGGTCTCCCCTCACCTCCGCCGCTCCTCCCTCTCTCCTCTCCTTGGGACCGCCCTGGCGGGAAGTCCGGGCTCTCTCCTCACCTCCGCCGTTCCCGAGGGGTCACCACTGCCCCCAGGCCGCAGCCCCCGGACTGCGCACAATCCAGCATCGGCCCCTCCAGTGGTGGCTCGCAACGGCACATGGCCCGCACACCTGCGACTCTCCTCAGGTCACCAGCTTCTCCTCCACATCAGCAGCCGGCCCTTCTCTCGCCAATCCCGTCTTATACCCCACGTGCAAGGTTGCGACGGACTTCGCCATCGCCTCTGACACTCCAGCGGCGTCCTCATTCGCCTCCCACAGGTACTGGTGAAAGGCTCCGCTATTCCACCGCCCCCAACGCTTGACCAGCTCCGTGTCCTGGAAGCAGTGGTACAGGGCCGTCGCTCCGCCGATTCGAAGCGAATGGCTCTTGAACCTGTCGGGTGGATAGCCTTCCAGCGCCGCCGCCTTCTGAAGCAAGCCCTGGGTACGCTCCCGCGTGATCGGGCTGCCGTCTCCCCACCTCGCAAGTGGTAAATGTGCCTCTTTGCCCGCGATACGGCTCGGGAACCAACGGTTGTAGCACTCCGCCGCCCACACCGGGCAGATGCCGAACGGGTCGTTCGAGCGGTAGTGGTTCCTCGCCTGCCCTGCTCCCTTCTGGTCCGCCTTCGACGCCTTAAACCACAGCACCACCTCGTCCGCGGCAGCGAAGTGGCTCACCTGCTCGCCCTTGCACTTCGGGGCAATGTCCAGCCCGGTCAAGACCTTCTTCAAATCCCAGTGCCCCGAGTGAGCGTACTCCCCAATCCGCATCATGAAGAAAAAGGCGAAGATCACGCAGAAATACAAGGCCGCGTCGTCCGCGCAAGTGTCTGGCTTCAGCATGTCTCGGATTCTCCTCAGCATCTTGATCGTAACCGGGAGCTTCCTCTTTCCGGGCCCTTGCCAGTTCTCTATCCCACTTAACGCCATCCACAGCCGCGGCTTCCCCGCCAAAGGGTCGGGCTCACCCAGCATTACGTGGTGCGAACGGATCCCCAGCAACTTTGACCGTATCGTCCCGTGCGACCGCTTCAGGCTGTTGTACAAGTGCACCATGAATAGCAGCAGCTCCTCCTCGTCTTGGTGACGCTCTTCACGAGTCTCGCCGTGCAGGATGGGCGACCTCCTGCGGATCCGGCAGAACGTCGTCCACTGCCTCCAAGCGACACCGTAGGTCGCCTTCGTCCCCTTTGCCACCGAAGCCACCACGGCTGCGTCTACCAACCTCTGGAGTTCTGGCGCGTACCCAGCATCGGCACGCCCGCCGGCCCGCCTGGAGTCCTCCCTGGCGATCCGCCTGAGCTGCCGCTCGAGCCCTTCGCTGCCCTGTCCGCTGCCCGCTGCCGCTTCCAGGTACCGGCTCACCGCCTCCGGGTCGATGTCCTCGGGCGGTCCAACCTCCGGTGCCGCACGCCGCGCCACCTCCTCACGCTCGCACTCCTCTCTTCCCCCGTGCCGGGGGGCGACCGCGGCGGCACTCCCTGCCTTGGCTGCCCTCTGCGCTGCCGCCAACCGGTCCTTGGCCATCGAAATGGGGTAGGGCTTGTTGCACATCGGGCAGCTCGTGTCCCGGCCCTCGCCCTGCACACCGCAGTACTCACACCACGCATAGCGGGCGTCTGGGCCGCCTCCTGGGAAAGGAACCGGCCGAAATGCTTCGGCCTCCCCCTCTGTCTCTTCATAGTCCTCCTCCGAGTAGGACTCAGGTGAGTTGAGGTCCCTCACGGCCTCGGCAGCACGTGCCGGTCCGCCAGGCCTGAGCGGGTCCTCCTCCACCCGGTGACCAGGGGGCTGCGGCCGCTTCTCCAGCCCGCGGGACCCACTCGACTCCCCCGAAGGGGGCACCCAACTTCCTGGTTGGGGCAGCGGCTCGCGGTCGGCCCGCCCCTCTGGCTGCGGGAGTGGCTCTCGGCCAGGCCGAGGGTGGACCACCGACGTCTCCACCCCGGCGGCCCTCCCCCTGGGCGGTCCTCCTCCTCTGGTGCGGACCAAAGCCCTGTCCTCTGAAACTCTACCCGCCTAGCGAGCGCACGGTAAGTCTGACCGACCGCCCGCGCAACCTCTGCCGGGGGCTCTTCCTCCGACCTCTCCTCCTGCTTGACCGCTGCTGGTGCAGGCGGGGTCTTCGCCCTTAGGTGGATGTACTCCGCCTGCCCCGCACCGGGGTGCCCGGCCCCATCCTCGGGCCGCTCTGCCTCCGCCTTCCTCTGCCGGGCAGCCCCTCGCTCCGCACGTGCCCGCCGGGCGAGCTCCCCTGGTGACGGGGGGGGGCGCTCCTCGCTCAGACTTCCGCTGCCGCTCTCCTCGCCCTGCTCCTCCGCGGCCCCGGACTCAGACCCCGCAGGGGGGGCAGCCAACGCAGCGGCGGCCAGCACCCGGGCGGCAGCCGCTGCAATCTCTCGCTTGCGCTCCTGCTTGCGCTTCTTACTTGCTGCTGCGGTCTCTGACGGCCCCTCCCCACCTGGGGGTGGCTGGCCGTGGGGCATCTTCTCACAGTGTCTGAAGTGCTTCGCGCCTCCTTCTGCCCAGTCCGCTCCCTCCGACCGCCCTGCGCACTTGTTGCAGCAGAACCCTGGCCGCCCCAGTGCTCCCCCGTCGACTGCCGTCGCGGGCTGGGAGTGCTCCAAGTAGGGGCACCCTGGGAGCCGGCACGGCCGCAAGGCTTCCCTCGCCTCTGGGGGGGGTGGGGCCGATCCGCACCGTGGCGCACTCTCCAGCCTCGCGCAACCACGCGGTCGCCTGTGCGCCGTCCAGGGGCCCAGCTTCATCCTCTGAACCTCCCGAATGCCGCTGCCTGGTGGAAAGTGGTCTCATCCCCCGCTACCACCAGGGGCCCCAGCGCCACTCCAGCGGGTGGGTTCATTTCGTGCTGCCGGCCTTCCCTGGCCGTCCTGGGCGGCGCCTTCCCCACCGCAGGCCGCTGCTCCTCCCAGATGGGTGGGAGGCGGCCGTCCTTGGGCGGCGGGTGCCTCGGAGCCTCCTCGCCTGCTGCCTGGGCTCCTGGACCGCCGCTGCCACTAGCCTCCTCGCCCGCTGGGGGGCGGTAGCCAGCCTCCCTCTGCCTCCTCTGGAGGTCTTCGAGTCGTGCCTGACAGTACGGACATGGGTGCGCCATTCCGTGTCACGGCCATGCCGACAGCAGTACCAGCCCCAGTCGCTCTCCAAGCCGAGCCGCAGCTGGCGCCACCACTGGTTCAGCACGCGGTCTCCATCTGGGTCGCGTTCCCACTCGCAGTAGGATCACATCGCGGGTAGGAACACATCCACAAAACAAAAAAAAAAAAAAAAAAAAAACCCAAAAAAAAAAAAAAAAAAAACAAAAAAAAAAAAAAAAGGTAGGGGTCGGCGAGCAAGCTTTGCGCTCGCTCCCCTGCAGGCATGCCACCGTTGCCGCTCACGCTCCCACAGTCTCCTGCGCGCCTCCGAGCTTGGATCCATTACGTGAGCCCCGACGGTCTCCCCTCGGTCCTCTTTTATTGGGCGGCGGCAGATGCCCGCCGTCCTCTCTCCTGACTCAGTGGATACCTCCGCTTGCCTGAGGGTCGCCGTTAGCGCAGCCGCGGCTGCA